GCTTTCAAAAAGATACATGGTAGACATTCGGAGGACATTTCCAAATTTGATACATCAGTGACAAAAAATGATGTCTGATGCAATTCCCTATTTGACTTGTACATATGTTCTCATGTTTAGGAGAACTATTTACTTTCCTTTGCATGTGTTTGTGATGGGTGTCATCAGTGGGGCAGGATACGCTCACCTTTTTGTGAACAACTGGTGTCATCACTATTTGATCTGAATTTTTTTTCATGCAGTTTGCTTGGAAGTGGCAATATGGTCATTCTGATGATGGACGTAATATCACACAAATACTAAAGCAGTGTCATTGGTTCCAATATCTTTATGGTAGACTGTAAATGGAAATATGCCCCTTGGTGATTACAGGTTTGAATTGGTCACCAGCAATCAATACTTGTCGAATGTGGTGACTTTATGGATGGGGTGATCAGGCTCATTGACTTGTTTGATTGTGTGTCATCGTACCCCGATAGCGTGAATTCTTGCTCAGCATATCAATCACTGATTTCTCATATCCAGACTTGATTATTTACAAGCCACTGTTTAATGGCCTGAATATTGCTGAGCAATGTTGTTTGCAGTGTTAAACAGCAAACACACAAAACAATAAACATACTGTTCTTCTTTTTGATTTGCCCAATATCTGGGGTATACTGATTTATCCAGTTATTCACAACATGAAAAATCTGATTGTGGAACATTTTTCTATGTGTTTTATTACATACTTAAGTGTGAAAGACTGAGTTTTCTGAAGTTGAGAAAAGTGATATTATTATTGCTCTGAACATAACCCTTGATAAATTTTGTTTCGCAAAGGGCCATTTTTGTTTGCTTGACCAGCGTGTATTCTTTCCCTTCCCTGGCAGTCTCCTAGTTTCCAGGGCCCTGTTCCACAAAGCTATCGTAACTACAATCAATCTTAGAGACTTACGTCGATTCTAAAATTGTCTTAGCTAAAGTTTACAACCGTTCCACAAAGCGATCTTAGGGCGATTGTAACATTACAAGTTCTTAAGTAGCCGATCTTAACAAAGATCGGAATCTTCAGCCATAAAGATACGAAATTTTCCCTTGGTCATGTTTAGCAGATGGCGCATTTCCTTGCACACCATAATAAAAGTCGCCATCTTTGTTGTTATGGTACAATATTTAAGATCGATTTTAGCAGCAATCCTAAGTTGGTCCGGAGCATTTTAGCATTTTGATCTTAACTTACAACTCTCTTAGTTAAGATTGCTTTGTGGAACGGGCGGCTTATCGTAACAAAAATTTAAGATCGCATACTTAGTGAGTTAAAATCAACTTAGCCCTAAGATCGCTTTGTGGAACGTGGCCCAGGAATATGTTTTGTTAAAATTGATTTTGTATATAATCATATCTATATGTATGATACAGAATTTGCGTGACCCTTAATATTTTTTTGAGACTACTTCTTTAGTGTCAAATACAAGGGGTGGTGAACCATCCCTGTGTATTACCATGGGTAGGGAGAATTTATGTTTCAAGGTTTTACATTTGTAATAAAATAATCTAGTTTTCCGGTAGACAACTACACAAACAGTATATAATAAATGTGATATTCCATGTATCATGTTTCTCTCTACGCCACTTGTGGAAATATCTCCTTTCCCCTCGTCACTTGACGAGCTAAAAATGATATTTTACTCGACACATGAAATATCCTCTATTTATTCTCTAATATCAAGTGTTGTCAAGATTCCTTTGGGGGACATGATATTTTTTAGCTTGATATATATATGTTAGAGCCATCAGATTTCTCTCTTTTTGTAGAGACGAAAACTATTAATCAAAACATTGACTTCTTGTGTCTGTATCAAATTAACACACAGAAGCGCTCTCTTTTTTTGGTCAGCATTGAATCACGGAAGGTACGTAGGAAGGAGGAAATATAAAAAATGTAGAAATTATTGATTGGAAATATTCTGTCCTGAATTACTGGCACCGGCATCTCAGATGTGTTGTGTGTATTGTCATGGACTTCCCTGCAGACATTTTCACAGACTGATATTCAGCCCAGCATACACCGGATGATGGTACAAGTGCCAAAATTAGAATTAAACAGAAATTGAATTCAGATTATATTATCTATATGAAACTCATAACTTGCTTTGCAAAGGTCTCATGTACCTAATTAATTAATAACAGACCAATATAAAAAAGTATTACTACTTTGTTTCCATTTCTATTGCATGTGATGTTGAAATACAGAATATATGGCAATTTGCCTGCCATGGGCACTTTATTTGAGGTCCATGATGAAGACAAGGAGAGTATGTATGTGTTCTGAGAACAGAAGCATTAATAATGGTACCGGTGTTGGAATTACGGCTTGTAGTTGAACCTTTCAGATTTCTTAAGTTTTTCTCTTTTCTTGTAAGCAGCAGATTCGCTGCACTTTTATGCAGTGGGCGTAATTCAAAATTAACATATCGCTTTAATTTCCGCAAAATCAGTAAACATGCTGTCGTATCACTGGATTGTCTGGTCCACTATCACAAGTCAAACAAACACAATCACAAACACTGGGACAGGAAGGTCCTACTTGTAGAGCAGCACATGCTTTCCCTTTCACGAACACCTGGTGTCATTGATATTCAGTGATCCATTAATATACTTTTCACCACTCTTGAGTCTTTTACACCCAAAGGAATCTGTTTCGGGAGATGATAGAAACTGATTGTCCTCCAGCATTGATGTTTTTTTATGGTGTTTCATTGTCCTGAGCTTTTGTTCAAAGCCATTTTATTCATTTTGTCTCTGTAAAATCACAAGGCATGGGTGGCACAGTCTTCTGAATAACGGCAATTGCTGTGTAGAGTTGTGTCTCCTAATTATTGCAGGATCCTCACCAGATTTTCCCTTATTACTTATTCTTGAAGGGGCACGGGTGGCCCAGTTGTCTAAGGCGCCACAATTCGCTGTGCAGAGTTGCATCCCTTGGACAGGCCAGAAACCTATGATTGTGGGTTCGAATACTGGTTCGCCCCGATTATGTTTCTAGGTTTGTCAGCACCATACCCGTGCTCGTGGGTTTCACCGAAGTGGTAAACGTCTAAGACCTGCATCACTTGGGGCTTTCCTTCCACATTAAGCTGACACGCCGTGATATAACTGGAATACTGTTAAAAGTGGCGTTAAACCCAACTCACTCACTCACTCACTTATTCTTGATCTGCCAGCACCATACACATGCTGGTGGGGTTTATCAAAGTGGCAAACTTCGATGGCTTGAGGCACTTTGGACTTTCCCCCACATTAAGTTGATACACAGTCATAAACTGTGTTTGGCTGCTGAAAATTAACCTCATGATCATTATGAGGACAAGTTAGTTGAAAAATATTCATTTCCTTCGTCTTCATTTTTTGGTGTGAACATAAACCAAACATCTCAGGACATCATTCAATAAACAACTTGGTTTGGACCTTGATGGAGTTGTTATGGAGCAGTGCCAAGAGACTTGACAAAGAATTCAACAATTGGGGAATTTGTTAAGAATTCTGTCATAAAAAGTCACACATATGGTCATTGAATGCACTTAAAATGTAAAGAGACCTGGCAAAGAATTAAAGAATTTAAGAATTTATTTAAAATTCTGCCATAATAAATCACACATATGATCATTCAGTGCACTTGAAAGCCCCTTGTATTTCATGAAGGTCGGAGTGACATTCAACTTGGGCTAGATACATGATTGTCTTGGGGCTGGAAATATATCACACACTGAATGTGAAAAAACTCCCCACCAATTCCACTTTTTTTAAACAGAAAAAGGAGAAAAAACCATTTCTGATACAACCGACAATTACAGCTGTGCAAACAAATAGTCTAAATTAGTGACTCCTTATCAGATGCTGTTGATGCTAGCCTGCGCCAACTCATGTAAAGTGTTCATAAATATTGAAGAGAGATTGTTTTTGTGCGGTTACTAAAATTGACATGTTTGTCTCTCTGAGCATGGTAATAATAAACCTTTTTCTGATGTGGATGACTTAGAGCTTGAGGAACTGTGAAACATGTATTTCCCTATTTTTATTGGATTTTTTTTGTTGCCTCTGCTGAGAGTAGAATGAGGTTACTTTTTATCATCCTGAGATCCAGACAGGTGTTGTGGCATCTGAACCTTATGAAGTGCCTGGGTTGTAGACTGTACACCTTAAGTAAGGCAATCAATATACATGTACCTTCATTTCTTTGATTTCTTAGGTGTAAGGGTAACCTTGTGGTTAAAGCATTGTAACATCAGGCACAAGTGCTGGGTTCGATTCACCAAATAGGTACAATGTGTGAAGACCTTTCTTGCTATCCTTGGCTGTGATATGGCTTGAAAAATGCTAAAAGCATCAAAACTCATCACACTCATCTCATTCATTTTTTACATTGCCAGTCAGGTTGAATGAATAATATATTGGCTAAATCTGATATTGTGTCCTTACCAAACTATTAGGACTTTATTGGGAACTGTTTGAACCATTGCATTCAAGTTTCTTTCATTAACAAAGCCAAGGAGTTTGTGTAAATATCCTGCAGTTTCCCCGACTGGTTTGGTTTGGAGGTTTGTACAAGTTCGAATTGGTTTTGATTTGAGTTTTGATAAAGCTTCTGATTCAAATCTTGCAAAGAATCATAAATCGCAAAGTCAAACTAAGGACATTAGCCAAATCAATTCCATCCTCTGAAGTCGGCAAGACTAGAGCTGGAATGCAGCCTTGATGCAGGGATTTGGGTGAAACCTTTGTGAAACTACTCTAACAAGGCATGAGGTTAAATTTAATCATTTAAATGTTGTTTGAAGTCAAAGGAGATTAGACGTGTGTTGCAAAATAGCTTGAAGGATGCACATGATCTGTGAAGGGGATAAGAACCGTGGGAGAATTAATATTAACTTGATTGGGGACTAGGACAAATGTCAACAGGAGAGGGGTTATTAGGCAGTTGAAACTGTTATTGTAGTGTTAGTGTGTTTGTTTTGCAGACATGAGCTCATCAAAGAGTTCGAACAGGAGGAGAAGGAACAGCAGTCGGTGACGCGGTCGAAGATGGTGGAGGAGTTCACGCAACTGTCTTCGGAGAATGTGAGTGTTGGTCTGTGCCTTCAGGAGTTGGTCATCAGTGAACCTGTGTTATGTTTCCATAATGTGACATTCAGACACACAACTAAAACCCGTGTTGTGTGACCCTATCTCATCATTACATGATACAATGATAACACTGTTGTTGATACATAGTTTGAATTATGGATATCAGTTTACATTACGTTTTACTGCATGAAATTTTGTTGTTCTGCCATCTTCCCGAGGCAAAGGAGTTAATTGACTCCAAAAGTCCAATTTTAACCCTTGCCAAACGAGGCTGGGATTTCTGGGCTCGATCGTAGTGCCACCAGTGGCTATTATGAGTTATGTCCCTCCTGTGTCCCTCCTCTTGACCAATTAGATATCACTCCACCTCTCATATCACTTGCATTTGCTTCAAACAAAATGGTAGCACCCAGTGAAGACGATCTGATCATTAATCAAAATCTGTATTGTGATAAAATGGGTCTTACTTCATGAAGTGCATCAAATTAGAAACATGAAAGGATTTGGGAAATATCTGTTGACGCCGAGTTGGTGGAACACATGCTGTGCAAATCCTGCACCGGATGTTGATTTTGATACACGTTTTTGTATTGGACTATGGCATAGATTCATTAGTCTAGCCAAAACAAAACTCCATAATTCCAGCCTAGGTGGAAACTGGACTTTAATAGTCTGTAAACTCCCTTGCCTACGGAAGATGGTTATCTTCATGAAGACCATTAACTTCTTAATTTTTTATTAAGTTAATATTTGCAATTCTGTTTGATTAAAATGAAGTTTTATTTCATTTCATTGTTAAGGAGCAACCAACACAGTTTCTTGTACCACTTTAAAAAAAACACTTTCAAACATTTCTAGTGAACAAAAAGTATACAAGATGTTTTACTATTTTAGATGAGACATGAAGAGGTGGTGACTTCATTTTTCTCACATCATTTGAGTTTAGATTGTTTGTATATGTTAACATCAAAAGTCCTTTCAATGACCCATACATATCTGAAAGTTTAAGTGCAATGTGTAATAGGCAAAAAACAGATTGTTTTCCTCCTCATTGAATTAAACATCACATGTGATTGATGGATATGTATGCCTGCCGAGTTGATGGGAATCATGTTTTCTAACTTAGCTGTGCCCCAAGGTGTGAACTAGAACCACATGGTCCAGTAGATACATGAACAGAAATGGCCTGCATCATCATGGTAAAGCCATATACAATTGTAGGTCTGCTTCCATCTCCTTCATCAAAGACCATTAATTAGCTGGCAAGACAGAGGAAGTAGGTAAATTAGCACCAGTAGTCCTCAAGTCAATAAAGGTGTCTGCTCTGGCCAATCTGTGAACATCTTGAGCTCCAGTTGTTGAAATTGATATTCATGTGTTGGTGCGGCCATCCCTCATTGTAACTGGGTCTGAACCAACACTCCCCCTCCCCCAAGACAAATTGTCACTTTGTAATTACCCGTTGTGGGGCCACTAATGAAGAAAGTTGGAAGATTAACTTGAGATTTTGCCCGACCTATCTATTGTGGTGATGATTTTGATTAGTTTCAGGCATGAATGTCTGTTTTCATTGAATTGACGAAATTTACAGCCTCCTTTACCACTTAACCCTTAGACTGCTGAAGTACTTTGCAGTGTCATAAGGTGGAGAACAAGAGTTCATTAAAATAGTTCTCTTCTGGCGTTTTATGGAATTTCTTTTAAATTCCTAAGTTATGGGATGCTTCTCTATGAACCTGTATAATTTTTTCTTCATCCTACCATTTCTTAATTTTTAAAATTTGGATTATCTCATCAAAGTATACAATTGTTTACAATTTTGTGCTTTTGTTTCTTTTGCAACCATCCCTAATAATTGTTATATCTGTGAAAAATATCGTGCTTATGTCCTAAGACTTTTAAGGGGGCACGGGTGGCCCAGTCGTCCAAGGCTCTGTGATTCGCTGTGCAGAGTTGTGTCCCTTGGGCACGCCAGAAACCTGTGATTATGGGTTCGAATCCCAGTTCGCCCCGATTATGTTTCTAGGTTCGTCAGCACCATACCCATGCTTGTGGGTTCAGCGAAGTGGTAAACGTCAGAGACCTGCATCACTTCGGGCTTTCCTCCCACATTAAGCTGATATGCCATGATATAATTGGAATACTGTTAAAAGTGGTGTTAGGCCCAACTCACTCACTCACTCACTCACTCACTCAAGACTTTTAAAATCAGGTACAGAATATCCACCTATTGTTTTTTTAAGAAATTTAACTATTCAATATGCATTTATTTATTTAAGAAAAAAAATATGAATATGATGGGAATTTTATTTCCTGAAATGATCAAGTAAATTGTGTGTATCTTGAATTGGCTTTTGGACAAGAGATTGCAAATGTACCAGAAAACTAAAAAATAGTGTGCCAGGTAATTTTGTCCGTTCAGTTAGGCTTAGACTCTCCATCAATAGAGGTTACCAGATAGATGTTCTCTATCAATAGGTGTTACTTCATATGATGTGTTCTCTATCAATAGGTGTTACTAGGTAGGAGGTGTTCTCTATCAATAGGTGTTACTACATAGGAGGTGTTCTCTATCAATAGGTGTTACTACATAGGAGGTGTTCTCTATCAATAGGTGTTACTAGGTAGGAGGTGTTCTCTATCAATAGGTGTTACTAGGTAGGAGGTGTTCTCTATCAATAGGTGCTACTAGGTAGGAGGTGTTCTCTATCAATAGGTGTTACTACATAGGAGGTGTTCTCTATCAATAGTGTTACTAGGTACAAGGTGTTCTCTATCAATAGGTGTTACTAGGTACAAGGTGTTCTCTATCAATAGGTGTAACTAGGTAGGAGGTGTTCTCTATCAATAGGTGTTACTAGGTAGCAGGTGTTCGCTATCAATAGGTGTTACTAGGTACGGGGTGTTATCTATCAATAGGTGCTGTTAGGAAGGAGGTGTTCGCTATCAATAGGTGTTATTAGGTACGAGGTGTTAACTATCAATAGGTGCTGTTAGGAAGGAGGTGTTTGCTATCAATAGGTGTTACTAGGTACGAGGTGTTACCTATCAATAGGTGCTGTTAGGAAGGAGGTGTTCTCTATCAATAGGTGTTACTAGGTACAAGGTGTTCTCTATCAATAGGTGTTACTACATAGGAGGTGTTCTCTATCAATAGGTGTTTCTAGGTAGCAGGTGTTATCTTTCAATAGGTGCTACTAGGTAGGAGGTGTTCTCTATCAATAGGTGTTACTAGGTAGGAGGTGTTTTCTATCAAATGGTGCTGTTAGGAAGGAGGTGTTCTCTATCAATAGGTGTTACTAGGTACAAGGTGTTCTCTATCAATAGGTGTTACTACATAGGAGGTGTTCTCTATCAATAGGTGTTACTACATAGGAGGTGTTATCTATCAATAGGTGCTATTAGGAAGGAGGTGTTATCTATCAATAGGCTCTATTAGGAAGGAGGTGTTATCTATGAATAGGTGCTATTAGGAAGGAGGTGTTATCTATCAATAGGTTCTATTAGGAAGGAGGTGTTATCTATGAATAGGTGCTATTAGGAAGGAGGTGTTATCTATCAATAGGTGCTGTTAGGAAGGTGGTGTTATCTATCAATAGGTGCTGTTAGGAAGGAGGTGTTATCTATCAATAGGTGCTGTTAGGAAGGAGGTGTTCTTTATCAATAGGTGCTGTTAGGAAGGAGGTATTCTTTATCAATAGGTGTTACTAGGTACAAAGTGTTCTCTATCAATAGGTGCTGTTAGGAAGGAGGTGTTCTCCTTAGTCTGCCCTCAGTAGTAACCATCTCATTTCTCTGAACATCATCATTTTGGAGGCTTCTTTCCTTCTTAACTATTTGGTTTTTTTAGGAACAGTTCCTGTCATACATCTTGTCAGAAATATATCATACGCAATTAACAGTAAATAGATAACAGCTCAAGACACACAAACTGTTATGTATGTAAACATGTTGTAGTGCTTCTAGCTTGCCCAACACAAACAGCAGCGGCACACTGGTGTGACAGAAAACAAAGAAAATGTTAGTGTACAGATAGCAGAAGCATTTATAATGGAATGTTTGCTGTGTCAACACTCCAGTGTAGCATGGAAGAAGTCTGAAGTATATTAACATTTTCTGATTTGTTTTAGGAAAATAGTTTTCAAACAACAACATCTAAAACAAATCAATTCAGTAACGAATTGTGTTGAATCTTTCTTTTTGGGGAAAATTACAATGAAATTGTTGATTTGAAGTTTTTATGTGGTACTTTCTCCTAACATATGCATTCTGTTGAAAACAGTGGCAGCCTATTACATGCTGTGATTGTTGTGTTTATGTAAAATATTTTTGTTCTTTTAACAGACAAGAATTCTTTTTGGTCTATTTGTATGATGTAAAATGCGGGTGTATTACAAATGCAGGAAGGATGGTGTAATTCAAACTTTATATTGTCCATAGTTTAACAAACTCTTTTATTTTCTGATTTAATCAGTGGTAAATTACGTTCTCATGTCTTGGTGATAACCTTTCATTCCTTGGGGGAATATGGTGTCATGATGTTTTCATTGTAACGTGAATGATGACAACTTAGATATCACCATAAGAATTTAATCAATGGCTGGGCTTGCTCGTTGTAAAAAGAAAAGCTGTCTTCAGCTTTAAATAATGGACTTTTCTCTCCAAAGGCCTTTTCCAACAACTTCACCTTTGTCGGCTGTTATGCAATTATTATGTTTTTTCTCCTTCCTCAATCTTTTCAAGGAGAGAAAAGGATTTCCAAATGTTGCCAATATTTCAATTGACATTATTAAGTGACAAAAATATTCCCTTGATAAAGTCATTTGATATTGAATTACCAATCCCTAAGTTTTTTTTGTTAATGTTGTTTCATTCTGAAGTAATAGTTACCATGAAGTCGGAGAACAATTTTTTTAATGTGTATAAGTTTAATGTAGTTGCTCATGTTTTCAGTCACTGGTTTGTGTTGTCCAGATTAATTTACAGGCTGCCTTGGTAGGAATTAAAAAAACACGTGTTAAATGCTTTGAATGGAACCGAAATCCTCACTACAACTAAGGGGCGGTGGGGTATCCTAGTGGTGAAAGCATTTGCTAGTCATGCTGAAGACCTAGGTTCAATTCCCAACATGGGTACAATGTGTGAAGCCAATTTTGATGTCCCCAGCCGTGATATCACTGGAATATTGCTAAAAAAGCTTCAACAAACCATATTCACTCACTCACTTTTAAAAAATATGAAACCTCAACACCACAGAATATTCAGTCTCAATGATCTGCTAAACAGATTCTGTTGGTCATAAAAGGCAAGATAGCAATCTTAGTGCTACAACAAATGTATCTCTAGGGTAGAGTATGGTATTTTGGACAGAGTATAAAGTAGAGTGAATATTGTGACATTTCTGTTCCCTTTTCAGGAGAGTCTACTGGCTGCTCACAGAAGTCTAAAGCAACAAGTGGAAGAAATACGTCAAAATCAAGCCAGAAGATTTGTACCACCTACTTAGCTGCTCTAAGGATATGGAATGATCTTGCGTGTGTGTGTGTGTGTGTGCTAACCTGCAGGAATATGCAGAAACAGAGAGTAACTTTAAAAGACTAGTGGTGGATGAATTGTTCATGCATTTGTTTGTTGTATGATGTTGAGAAAGTCAGCTGTAACTGACAGCTTTTTGAAGGCTGTTCCTGAGAGACAGTGCAGCCATTTTGTAGAGCTACCTGTGTGCATGTTGTCACAGCAACCAGACAGTATGACAGTGTTGCCGACTGTAGATGATGACCTAACAGAAAACCTGACTCTTACAGTGGGAATTACATATACATAATGTTGTGTGATTTCCGCTTGATGTGATCTAAACTTTTTCGTGTTGAATGATGTCCTTTATTTCAAGACATTTGATATTTCCTGACAGCTTAGCTCCATGCCTACCTGATATCAACTCCCTCAAAATCAAATTTGTATAAAATATTAAAAAATATGAGAATTCTTACTATTATCTGTAGGCTTGTCTGTTTGTGACCATGACCACACTACCAGGCTTGAAGTTCATCTACCCGGGATGGTTAACATCTTCATCTTTCCTTGTTGTTGTCACTGTAGATCTTTGTAGGAATATCTTAATTTTGCACACAGATAGTATTTTGTCTTGAGAAATATCAGCAGAATGTTACAGGTAAATCGCTCTGATGTAATTTTATCACCCCCAGAGACAATGTTCTGTTTTGTGGATCATGTGACTGACACTTTGACACTAACTTCTTCATCTACAACCCAAATACTTTGTGATGCTAGGGCTGTAGTATGAAAGCACCCTAATGCCATATGTAGAAATAGTTTTACCTCATTCGAAGGACTTTTGATCTTTTGGATACTTTTGGAACAAAAAGGAAACATTGCTCAATGACCAATGTACACTGGTATATACCACTTCACTTCAGTATGAGCATGTGTTTTACTGATAAAACACCATTAAGAGATCCTCAGCTTGATCCAAAAGTTGGTTTGCTTGTTGTTTGACCCCTCACTCAGCAATATTCCAGCTACATGACACTGGTCTGTAAATAATCGGGTCTGGACCAGACAGTCCAGTGATTGACATCATGAGCATCGATCCACACAATTGGGATATGATCAACCAAGTCACCGAGCCTGACCACCGGATCCTGTTAGTCGCCTTTAACGGCAAGCATGGGTTGCTGAAAACCTGAAGACCTAATCTTCAGGGTGTCATCAAAAAGACCCATGTAGGAGATAAAACGTCCTAAGTAGGAGACCAATGTAGGAGATTAAAGACCTTTGTAGGAGTAGTCTTGAATGTATTATATAGGAGATAGAATGTCCTATGTAGGCATATATTTTTCTGAAGAGGAAATAAAAAGAAATTTCCATGTGGCACCAGGAAACTTCTCTATTGTTGATGTTACTGTTGGTATAGAAGGATACATGGATATATTGGAATATTGTTATTTTTAATATGGCATCACATGAACTATCTTCTGATGGTATGGAGTGCAAGGAATGATAAATCAAAGTCAAGGGGTCCTTGTCATACACCTGGAGATAAACATTACTTGATTAAAACACTAACACTGGTATGGACAAGTAATTAGCTGTCACTGTCAGATTACTTGACAAAGTGTTCTTGTTTTGGTTGGTCTTTGTCACGCTTTACCTTTGATGGTGCTACGCAAATCCTCAACAGGACAGGTTTTACTGTCCACTGTAGGACATGGAGAAATGACCATTGCTGTACCAGAAGCTACCACATGAACTGTCTTTTAATATTCTTTGTTTTATCAAAGCACATTCTTATTTTGCTTAATTGCAAAACATCATAGTGCTATGGTGATGTAAAATGAAATGTAAATAAATGTACAATAAATTACTTTTAGAATTGCTTGTAGTTGAGAAGTGTTTTTGAAGTTACTTATGGTTAGATGTTTTGTTTGTTGGTTTGTTTGTTTAACGCCGCACTCAGCAATTTTCCTGCTGTAGGATGGCGGTTTGTAAATAATCGAGTCTGGCCCAGACAATCCAGTGATTGACATCATGAGCATTGATCCATGCAGTTGGGATACAGTGACATGCATCTACCAAGTCAGCGAGCCTGACAACCCGATCCCTTTAGTCACCTTTTCTTGCAAGCATGGGTTGCTGAAGTTCTATTCTAACCCAAATCTTCATGGGGTTATGGTTAGATGTGTGTGGAAAGTCAACACTGTTGACTGTTCACCAATATCAGTATTCACTTATGTCTTACTACTTCAGCCCCACACTCCCACCTTGTCTGTGGGCCACTATCTCTTTTTCCCAAGGACCACATGCTGCCTTTCAGATGTTCATCATTAATCCATTAAGAAGTCATCCTACCAGATGGCTGTGATGCTGGAAGTCAATATGATTCAGCTGATGAAAAAGATAGAACCAAAGTCACATAATTTCTCCTTTGCTTGTTTTCGTTTTAAATTGATACTAATTTGACTGGGTGCAGGGATCATCAGCACTGACAGCGATGCCATGCATGAATGTTGGTATTGTTTACAGTGTTCAGAGCAGATCATTTTGCACAGAAGTCCTTATTAAACAATGACAATGGCTGTCACAGCACTGACAAGCCAGGCACATGATCTGAATGTGTAAAACACAGACTGGATCAAGCATGCTATCAGCTTCAGCACAATCAGGTGGTGTCATGAAAGCTTCTTGTTTTGACTGAGTGGGAGACTATTGTCACAACATAAGTTGATACATATGGCCTCTACTCGAGGTGTTGACTTGACTAGTTCGTAAGGTGAAAACTCAGTGTAGCCATTTCATGGTTTATGTCTAATTGGGTTTTCATACATTAGCTCTGCACAAATATAGTTAACTGTGGTGATGGCTGGACTCAAATTCCTGTCTTCCAGTTAGTATTATGATCAATGCAGCTGGAGCATGGCTAGGGAACAGTCTGTACTAATGTGGCAAATGATACAGTACTTTAGCCAATATCATAATACATTCTTGCAATTTAAGATTCGATCAGCCATTTATGTCATTACACCTGCCCAGATAGGTAGTCCACAGTCAGTCTTCGGCTATAATCATTCCCGTATATGTTGTGATGTATATTATATAGAGTTGTTAAAAAAATCAAATGATCGTCATTGAGAAACATACATGGCCGATACAATGGAACAGAATTGGATTGGGTGCATGATGCTATAACGATGGCATGGCAGGAAGACCATGATGTGTTTGTCACTAAAGGTTGGAAATACTGAATTTCCTAGCTACATGAAACAGCGTGCTTTTGAAATGATATCTGAAGTTGACGAGTCACGTTTGGTGGACATTGTGCACCGCTGGTAACACGAAGTATTGTTTATTGTCACGAGTGTACGTCTGAAGATCACATTTCAAAGTAAACTATAAGCTATACTCTTTAAGTTATTGGAACGTTGAAACTTAATTAAAAGAAGCCTCATATTACGTCTTTGGTAGATTGATTACTACAGGTATAAACAGGTTGTTCCTGGCTCACTTACAGCAGACTCTGGTTTCACTCTCAGGATAGTCTCAGGTATCTTTTCATTCTACAATGATGAGTAAAAGTTGTCGACCATATTCAAGTTACATCACCTGAAAGTAGTCGAGTCTGAGTCAGGCATGCATGTGGATGACAGCATTGTCAACGATCAACACCAAAAGGCTACAGTGGCGCACAACGAACCAGCGGAGACATCGTGGCCACCCGATACACATTAGCCGCCTCTAACAACAAGAATGGAGTACTGGTGACCCTGGATTCCCGACGGGATTTCACCTCATCTCATCCATAATTTCTTTAAGGGCATTACATATTTTTTTATGACGCTCTCCTAATATGTGTATTATTTTGTTATAGTATTTGGCAACCCTCCCTTGATTCCCTCTGACCCGCTCCCCCTATAATAAATGACCGGTCACACTTATGTCAGAAAGGACCGATATCTAATTCGGCAGAAGAGAGACAGGTCGGTAACTTTAGTCTCTTTAATTGAGACGCACGATCAAGACTTTATATCTGCAGAGATAAGGAAACGACGGATTGCTAGGCCGTAAACACTGTTTTAACTGACATTGAGTGTAACGACGGGACGAGACATTGACGTGATGGTATTTTCAACATGAAGCGAATGCCCAAGCACTAGAACACCTTAATGGGAGTAACAAAATGGATAATTAGATCTTTCTTTTTTTCATTACCCGTTTTATATCTTTTCCCTAGCGGGGGCCAGTCGTCCAAATCGTCACATTTCACTATACAGAGTTGCGTCTCTTAGGTGTGCCAGGAATGGATGTGGGTTCAAATCAAGATTCGCTCTGATTATGTTTCAAGTTAATCAGCACCATACCCGTGCTCGTTTCAACCATGTGGTAAACGTCTTATACCTGCATGACTTCGGCCTTTCCTCTCGCATCAAGCTTGCATGCCCTGTTATAACTGGAATACTGTTCAAAGCGTCGTTAAACCGAACTCACTCACTCACTCACAAAAGTGAATGATATTAGTGGCAATAAATAGCACTGACCTTTCATATATCATAACTTTTTATAAATACATCATTGAAATTCTAAACTTAACAAACACTTCTATCAACTTCAGTCACATTTTCCCGCGTTTGGGACGGCAAGTTACCACAGAAGATACTGAACTTACGGTCTTATAGGTGACCAAGGAGGACCGAAATTCAGAAAGAATTACTGCCCTTTGTTTGGTGAAAATACTTCAGTAGAAGAATAAAGCGGACATGGTTAATGTAAAATGACGAGATTGTTTCCTCACAAAACACTCTGCTTGTAATTTTCTTCTCTTGACAGAGGTTGTTGCGCTTCTCCGAGACATATTAACACCAACTTGGAGTACACGGAGTGTTCCTGACCCACCAGCCTAGACAATTACAGAGGCACTGCTTTCACGATAATCACTGACTCAATCCAGACTACTTTCAAATTAGATCTCATTTCATATGACATGGGCAACCAACCTAACACAATGAGCCCCTCCAATCATGCTGAAAACTACGTTACCTAGTCCTTTTAAGTGATATGGCTTCCGTGAATAAGGGACTTCGCCTACCCAGGTTCAAAATGGCATAACCCGCTCGTTGTAATTGTCTCTTACTTTCACATGCATGTAAGTCGGTAATGAAAATTTGTTTGGCTCCTGTCTGTCTTTGAAATGTTCAAATGTGTAATCAAGGTGGACGCGACCTTTCGCCGTCTACAACGGTCATTCGCACGCAAAACCCCGGGGGATAGGAAGGCTGGTCAGAATACGGAATCACCAGGTCGGTACGTGGGGTGGAAGCCCTAATGAGAGGGGCGGATGTTGGGAGGACGATTAGACGCTCGTGGACCGCGACACAGAATCTAGTGAGCGTATTTGGTATACTTCATTTAACTCTCGTGTTTGTGATATAGCTTCTTGGACACTTGTAACCATATCTATTGAACCTTTATTGACTTGAGAGGCGTTGTAGTGTACGGTACAATTCATTCGTATGTAGTGTAGGTGTTTGTGTGCGTGAGTTTCTCTCTCTTCATTCTCTCCCTAGGTGTGTGGTAGTCTGTGTGCGTGAATATTTCTCTCCACCCTCTCTGCCAAGGCGTGTCGTAGTCTGTGTGCGTGAATATCTCTCTACACCCTCTCTGTCAAGGTGTGTGCGTGAGTGTCTCTCTCTTCATTCTCTCTCTAAGTGTGTGGTAGTCTGTGTGCGTGAATATCTCTCTCCATCCTCTCTGTCAAGGTGCGTGGTAGTCTGTGTGCGTGAATATCTCTCTCCACCCGCTCTGTCAAGGTGCGTGGTAGTCTGTGTGCGTGAATATTTCTCTACACCCTCTCTGTCAAGGTGCGTGGTAGTCTGTGTGCGTGAATATCTCTCTCCACCCTCTCTGTCAAGGTGTGTGGTAGTCTGTGTGCGTAAATATCTCTCTCCACCCTCTCTGTCAAGGTGCGTGGTAGTCTGTGTGCGTGAATATCTCTCTCCACCCTCTCTGTCAAGGTGTGTGGTAGTCTGTGTGCGTAAATATCTCTCTCCACCCTCTCTGTCAAGGTGCGTGGTAGTCTGTGTGCGTGAATATCTCTCTACACCCTCTCTGTCAAGGTGTGTGCGTGAGTGTCTCTCTCTTCATTCTCTCTCTAAGTGTGTGGTAGTCAGTGCGCGTGAGTTTCTCTCCCCACCTTCTCTGTCAAGGTGCGTGGTAGTGTACGTGAATATCTTTCTCCATCCTCTCTGTCAAGGTGTGTGCGTGAGTGTCTCTCTCTTCATTCTCTCTCTAAGTGTGTGGTAGTCTGTGTGCGTGAGTTTCACCCTACACATTTTCTCTCTAAGTGCGTGGTAGTCTGTGTGCGTGAATATCTCTCTCCACCCTCACTGTCAAGGTGTGTGGTAGTCTGTGTGCGTGAATACCTCTCTCCACCCTCTCTGTCAAGGTGTGTGCGTGAGTGTCTCTCTCTTCATTCTCTCTCTAAGTGTGTGGTAGTCTGTGTGCGTGAATATCTCTCTCCACCCTCTCTGTCAAGGTGTGTGCGTGAGTTTCTCTCTCTTCATTCTCTCTCTAAGTGTGCGGTAGTCTGTGTGCGTAAGTTTCTCTCTCTTCATTCTCTCCCGAGGTGTGTGTTAGTCTGTGTGCGTGAGTTTCTCTCTCCACCTTCTATGTCAAGGTGCGTGGTAGTGTGCGTGAATATCTTTCTCCACCCTCTCTGTCAAGGTGTGTGCGTGAATATCTCTCCCCACCCTCACTGTCAAGGTGTGTGGTAGTCTGTGTGCGTGAATATCTCTCTCCACCCTCTCTGTCAAGGTGTGTGGTAGTCTGTGTGCGTGAGTTTCTCTCTCACGCCTCTCTGTCAAGGTGTGTGGTAGTCTGTGTGC